AAAAAAAAAAAAGATAATTTGTCATATATAAGGCGACTGGCCACTGGCTCTACCACCCTAGGGGGTAGGCACTTTATGAAAGAGGGAGTATATTTTCCACACAGAGACTGTGTTGGAATGTCCTTTGAATCAAAAAAAAAAAAAAAAAAATGCAGCCTCTGCCCACCTCTCCCAGCTCCCGTGGGGTTCAGGGACTCTCTTGCAGTCCCCGGTCCCAGCCTGCAATAATCAGAGGTCTCTTTCCTCCTGTCCCAAGCCCTCTCTGACTGGCTGTTCTCTGGCATGTGATGAGGTGGCCTGTGTCCCCAGAGCGAGCTCCTTAGTGGGCTCACATGCCCCTCCAAGGCACTTCCTCAAAATGGACAGCCACCCTATGACCTGGTCAGCGAGGACGTCTCAGATGAAAGCCAGGCTGTTGGGAGGGAGGGTGGCCCTGCAGCTCGTCTCCCCCACACAGCTCTTCCCCCCTGCTGGGAGTGGGGTGACCCGCAGCATGTGGTATGTATTTAGGAAGGTCCCTTCTCTCAGGTCGCTAAGTACTCCATGCTGAGGAGGGTGGCTTTGAAGATAGGTGTTTAATATATACGCTATATTCTAAAGTAAAGACTATATGGAGCTTGGACCGCTTTGGAAGAACTGGTACCCCACATGGGGCCAGTCTGCCGAGGGCCCCAGTCCCCTAATTGAGGGCTAGCTGGCTCTTCTTGCACAGGGCATGGAGGACTGTGGCCTGGGCTGTCCCTCTGTCCAGAGCCGCTAGGAGTTTCCTGCCAGTAGCACAGCTACCTCTGGTGGCCCGGGAGACTCTCATGAAGCCATGGTGCTGGCTGCCCGCCCAGGGTAGCAAGAGCACTCAGTGACCACCCGCCGACGAGGACCACAGCCCTCCGCACCCCACCGCAGGTCGCAGCAGGATGGCCCACCTGGCCTCAGAGAGGCTGCCCTGGAGCAGTGAAGTCCGAGCCCCCTGACCTCTCAGGTGCCCGCCCAGAGGCCTGCCCCAGGCCTCACTTAGCGCCAGCAATAACCGGGGCTCACCGCCCTCTTGGAGCACTTTCGTCTTTACAGAGGGGCTTGCTGTTACCTCAGGGGTCTTGTTAGTGCACGGAGGACCCTGGGAAGGGGTGCTGCTGCCAGGGGAGAACTGCTCGGCTGCAGGGGGCGGGGAGTGGGCCCTTGATCCTCCAGGAAGCTGCAATCCAGGGCCCTGTGGTCTGGAGGAGGCACCTGTCAACCTAGGCCCTGTCCTTTCTGGAGTTTATCCTGGGACCCAGGGAGGGCCCTCTGCCCTCCCCAGTGGCCCTGACCCATGCATGGCAGTCAGAAGCTGGCCACCTACTACAGGCCATGAGGACACCGTCCCCCTCAGCAGGCATGAGCCCTGCATGCAGGGAAGGCAGGGCCCAGGAGCTGTACAGTGCCCCCACTTAGCTCTGGGTCTCTTCAGAAAATAAAAAGTGGGCTAAGAGGGGCAGTCAGCACTTCCAGCTGCTCAGGGAGCCCTGGACAGCAGCTGACCGGCATGGGGTGTTTCTCTTCTCCATTGAGAAAAAAAAAAAAAGGACCCCACTCCAGACTACTGTGCCCCGGGCCCAGATCCGTGACTCTTAAAGGAGCCACCCAGGGCTGCTCCCAGAAACACATGCTGACAATGCCATTTTCCAAACCACATGCCAGCACCCGGGCTGGTGGCTTTCATGCGTGACTTCATTTACAGCAATGCATGTGTGTCTGGTTAAAGAATCTCTAACACTAAAGGGGTGGGGGGTGATCTGAAATTGGGACTGTCCTGTGAAACCTGAAAGAGGGGACAGGGACATGAATCCATCATGTCCTGCATGACAAAATCAGGGCCAGCACAGGGCTGTCTGTAGAGAGCTGGGCCAGCCGTGTTCAGACTCTGCCCTTGGCACTTCAGGAAGCCCGACAAGCAGCTTCGTAGTCACCTCATCACCAGGACACAGAGGGACTGGGGTGTGGGAGGAATGCTAAGACACATAAGGCTTTTCCTGAAGAGGGTGGAAGCAGCGGGGGGCCATGAGAGCCCTCCCCAGGTGACGGAGGGGGTAACCAGACGCAAGCACCTTTAAGAACTTAGCACCTTCTCCAGCAAGGCTGGACTTAGCGCCTGAAAAGCTTTTTAGGAAAGGGTGCCACCTGCAGGTAGTGTGGCATCTCAGCCACTCAGCCCCAGTTCCTCGGCAGAGACAGGTCGGGGAACAGCCTCCCTCCACCACGGGCCCCTCAGCTTCCCGGTGTCCTGGGGACCCCCACGAGAGCAGTTGGGGTGCTCTAATACCACAGGGCTCTGCTCATATCCCACCCCTAGGCCACCTCACACTTTCCCTTTCTCTCCTGATTGCTCATGTAACTATCTAGGGATCACAGTGGCTCACCGGTCTGTCACCGTCACCGCGCTCCGTCACACCCCACGTGTACTCCTAGTGGGGAACCTGTACTGGCTTAGAACTACTAAAGAAACCGATGTGCACTACGGCTCACAATAATAAACCATGTGCTTTTGGAGAGACCCGTGTCTGTCTGCCTCGCGTGCTACATACGTGTCAACCCTTTTGGCTAAGCGAACCACAGGCTTATGCTGGAAGCAGCGAAGTGTCATGGGCCAGTCAGTCACCTGGTGTGAACTCAGCAGCCCTTCCAGGGCCCAATGCCAACTGGATGCGTGGATTTTATCTTCTCCCATCGGTTCTTGGGGAGGTCATGCTGAAGCGCCCCCACCCCCAGTGCTCAGGCAGCCGTAACTGCTTGCTGCTCTGTTGCTGTCGTGGTGGGTGCCCAGCATGGCCAAGCCCCGTCTTCAATTCATGTCTGCTCCCTCCTGACCAAGGGTAGTCCAGAACATCTGTCGCTGGTGTCCCGGGCACCTCCCCTTGCTCCCCATAATCTCCCTGACCTAACAGCTCTGCCTTCAGAGTGTCACCCAATTCGGACTGTCTGACTTTCCCCGGAACCTATCACTATGACTGCTAGGGAACAGCAGCCCCCTTCAGGGGTCCCCACCAAGCCAGCCACTGCCAGCCTCCCCATGCCTGTCCCTGCTTTCTCCCTCACTGCCCCTGTGCCATTGGATATGACACACGGCGTGTCCTCTGGGCAGCCCTCTGTCTCCTACGTGGGTTGTGAGGTGAGAAGCGCATGTTCCATCTTGTCCAGAGGGGTCCCCGGAAATACCAGTGTCCTGGGGCTGTAGATGGGAAGAGGGAATGAATGGGTGGGGGGAGGGGCAGAGGGAAAGGAAGTAAACAAACGAGCATCAGGAGTGAGAACGGGTGAGAATGAATTGGGGGGGGGGCTGGAAAGGGGTGAATGAAAAACAAGGGAGGGAAGAGGGAGTGACAAAATAAAACATAAAGCAGTTCTCACCTCAAAGAGGATAAAGTTTTATAGCAGCCGAACTAAGTCATGAATCAAGGCACTTCTTAAGAACACTGAGGGAAACGTTAGGAACACAGGCATAGTGGTTTGTATAATGCTGTGGATATCGCTCTATATAAATAAAACACTGATGGCCAGTGACCAGACAGGAAGTATAGGCAGGACAAGGAGAGAGGAGAATTGGGGAAAAAGGAAGAAGGGGGGAGAGACACTGCAGCCACCAACAGGACAAGCAGCATGTAAAGACGCCGGTAAGCCACCAGCCATGTGGCAAGGTATAGATTTATAGAAATGGGTTAATTTAAGATATAAGAACAGTTAGCAAGAAGCCTGCCACGGCCATACAGTTTATAAGTAATGTAAGCGTCTGAGTGATTATTTTATATGTGGATTGTGGGACTGTGGGGCTTGGTAGAACCTGGAGAGAAGCCCTCCAGCAACAGTATAAGAAATGTCCCCATAGGCTCTGGTATTTGAATACCTGGTCTGTTGGTGGCGCTGTTTGGAGAGGCTACAGAACCCTTAGGAGGTGGCGTCTTGCTGGAGGAAGTACGTCACTATGAATGGACTAAGTCACCCCTGGTCATGGCGCTTTATCACAGCAACAAAAAGTAACTAATACAGCAAGTGAGAGCAAACCAGGGAAGCCTCTGCCGCAGTTTTTCACTCTTACTCTGCCACCCAGCTCCTGAATTAATGCACAGAGACTTATCCTTACTTATGGATGCCAGGCCTTAGCTTGGCTTGCTTCTGTTTAGCTTTTCTTAAATTATCCTGTCTACCCTTTGCCTCTGGGCTTTTACCTTTCTCTAGTCTATACACCTTTCTTTCCTTCTTACTCCGTGGCTGGCTGTGGGGCTGGGTGGCTGACCCCTGGTGTCCTTTTCTCCTTCTCCTTTTCTCACTCCTCCTTCTTCTCTCTTCTTCTCTCATTTATTCTCTCTGCCTGCCAGCTCCACCTGTTTCTCTCTCCTGCCTAGCTACTGGCCGTTCAGCTCTTTATTAGACCAATCAGGTGTTTTAGACAGGCAAAGTAACACAGCTCCAGAGTTAAACAAATGCAACATGAAAGAATGCAACACATCTTTGCATCATTAAACAAATATCCAGAGCATAAACAAATGTAACACATCTCAAAATAGCATTCCACAACACTATGCTGTAGACCTTAGGTGCTATCTGGTGACACTCTTAGCTTTTGGTTGATGGAAGCTGTTGGTCTGTTAGATTAACACATTTCAAAGGGCTTTCCTGTTAATCACAAGGCTGTTTGGTCAGACACAGAGGTGGGCAAGGAATGGCCATTAAAGAGGCTAGAGATGGCCCACGATAAATTGTAATTAGGTTCGGGCCCTGCCCTGTTTCAGCCTCTCTAGAGCCTTTGACGTGTTCTCATCAGTCTTGCAGAAGGTTCAGTGGCAGGGCCAGCTTCTTTCCAGGAACTTTGGTTCACAGCTACGAGGGAACGGATGAGCCCCCGGGGAAGGAGAAGTGGGCGTGCACCTTTCAAAGAATAGGATAGAAATTAG